GGGGAACACCAGGCAGCGGTCAGCACGCGTAGGGGAACACCAGGCAGCGGTCAGCACGCGAAGGGGAACACCAGGCAGCGGTCAGCACGCGTAGGGGAACACCAGGCAGCGGTCAGCACGCTTAGGGGAACACCAGGCAGCGGTCAGCACGCTTAGGGGAACACCAGGCTACGGTCAGCTCGCGAAGGGGAACACCAGGCTGCGGTCAGCACGCGAAGGGGAACATCAGGCTGCGGTCAGCACGCGATTTAACAGCGCACGCTAGTGACTCATTTGTACATATGAAATATGTATTAGGTCAATACGATGCAAGCACGAAAGGAGTACGTGACACATCAGGGTCGGAAATTATGTGCGTATACGTAATCTCAACGATCCTGCAGGACATGCTTTTTAAGGTACATAAGATATAAGAAAAGGTCATCTAACAAACAGAAATAGAAAAAGCTTTATAAAATACACTAGGCATCTCGCGAACTTCCGGAGGGTCGGCGATTCTTCCGCCGAGCTGACATTTTGTAGAGGCGTAGCACCAGCGCACCCGTCTGTGCACATCAAGTTAATAGGGTCTCCGTAATAATGCCCAACGATCCTGAGTGAGCTGTATGTGAATGTATGTCCAACTGTTGGAAGAATCTCGAATGAATGTATCTGTCCAATCTGCGACGGAATCCCATATTTGAGTGGCCGCCTTCTTGATCGTCCTGGGCGCGCATGTCCTGAGCGAGTGCCCGGGCCAATCGTGGCAAAAAACGTACTCGCACGTTGCGAAGAAACAGCGTCGTCTGGTGGCGAACAGATACATTGCGTGCCACCAATGCTCACTGCCACATGTTTATTGCCTTTTAATATTTCAATAAATACACGAATATTCCTTAGATATTTTACGCTCCAGAGCGCGTATCATTTTCCCACGTTTCTATCTAAAGCACACAACTGGAGGCTTACGTCATGAACACCAAACAGGACACAACGTGCCGTCAGTGGAAACAATGGATAAAACCCCACTAAAAAGGACACAGGGGTACCACCCCTTTCGGCCCATCCTCGAGAACTTAAACCCAGAGCAGGCCCACAGTGCCATATGTGTGGAACGTTTCAAAAAATAGGGGGGCCATGCTCAGAGTATACGTAAGGAGACTAGCCCGGGAAGCAACCCCGGCGACCCGTTGAGGGGGGAGGGCGGGAAAAAAAATGGAGGATTTTGCACGCTCTTAATACACCTACAACTGTTTTCTTCTGCTAACAACATTACCTTTTTGGCTCATCTCTAAACATTTGACGAATAAGCCTACCCAGCTTCCTAAATACTTCCCCCATTTCAACATTGTTTCCACTCGGGAGGCGAAATTCCAATAGCGCTGACACCTGGTGCCAGTTCAGTGACCCGATTAGCCGCTGACTCCCGGTGTCAACTCAGTGACCCGATCAGCCGCTGACGCCAGGTGCCAGTCAGTGACCCGATCAGCCGCTGACTCCTGGTGCCAGCTCAGTGATCCGATCAGCCGCTGACACGAGGTGCCAGCTCAGTGGCCTGATCAACCATTGACACCAGGTGCCAGTCAGTGGCCCGATCAGCTGCTGACACCCGGCGCCAGTTCGGTGACTCGTTCAATCCTTGACCTCGGCCGCGTGTCCCACGACCATGCCCACCGGGCGGCGACAATCTCGCCGCCCAGCACCAGGAGCGCCAGGCTGTGGCCCATCAGGAGCAGAACGAGCGGTCCCCACAGGTGGTTAAGGCTCAGCGGCTTTAAACCGAAGCGGCTGTCGCAGCCGGGCGCGCGTCGCCGGCACGCGTCGCGTTTCAGCTTCTCGCCGATCAGGCGGGCGTCGTGGAGCGCGCGGTCCCGGTTTGTGATGGCACTTTCGGCCCGCCAGTTCATGAACATGCTGTAGGCGCTAACGAGCGGGTGGTTCTTGGACCACATGCGACCCAGTAAGAAGCCGAGCAGGTCCCTCTGGCTGATGTGGATGTCGTCCATGGAGATAGAGCCGTTCGTCTCCTTCATAAGGTGAACGGCCTGGCTCACGACTGTACGCATGTCCATGCTGATGGCGAGCTTGTGCGCTATCATTGCGCGCCGAGTCTCCGGGAAGCTGCGGACCTGAAGCTCGCGACCAAGCTGGCTCACGTGCTTGTTGCTGCTCTGCATGTACATGGCCTTGTGGTGTTTGAACGGCACGCTCATTTTGTAGCCCTGCCGCACGAGCTCCTCGGGATTCCTCGGAAACTCGATAGCCGGCGTGGTGAGCTCGCCGATCAGGTCGCTGAGATAAGCGGTCGTCAGGATTAGGCACATGATGACCCAAACGCCACCGAAAGGGTGGTAACCCTTCCGTAAGCGTCTGAAGATCACCACGCCCTGGCCGAGCACCATCCCCAGGCTCTCCAAACATCCCAGGCAGAGGCTGACGTTTTTCGCCATGCAAGACAGTAAGGCTCCGAAAAGCGCATGCGCAACCAACACACACAGCCACACTCTCCAGGAAAATAGATGGATTAAGGATTCAAGCTTCACCTCTTTGAAGCGTTTCACCGCAAAGAAGCTGAGCCCTTGCAGAGCCTTGTTGTCCACGATCGACACAGGCTGACCGATTATGGCAGCTGGGAAGAAGCTGAAAGGCCACGCAAAATCTGCCTTGCCGTCGATGAACATCTGCAAAGACTGTCTCATCACCTTCGAGAAGGCCGGCACCTCGTTGAGGCTCGCGGACGTCTGGATGCTCTTCGTGTCCAGGTAGATGTACGTCAAGTTGTGGTAATCGAAAAAGTCCGTCTCCATGTATTTGACGAGAGTATTGCTGTACGATTCAACGGGCGAATGGAAGCTGATGCGTTGGCAGATGGTGCTGTTGCCAGGACTCGGATGGCAGGTCGACACGACGCTCGCCGGCGCCGCGTACGCCACGCGCAGCACTGTGCCTTCTGCCACCAGCCGGCCGCTGGGTCTCATGGCCGTCCGCGCGTCGACGACCGCCAGGCCGCGGTGCGCGCTCCAGTACCCCAGCGTCAGCACGCCGGCCCGGCCGTAGACGGTGCGCCGCAGCGCGCCCGAAGGCTCTAGACACATCACGTCCGGCACGCGCTCGAACATGGTTTCGCCGAGCAGTGCGTCACACGCGAAATTTTGGCCGACCAGCAGCGCCGCGTGGGCCGCCCAGTGCAGCAGCGGCGCCGGCGTCGGCCGGAAGGTGCAGCCGTTGCCGGCGAGCAGCACGTGCACGCCGACCGGGAACGAGCGCAGCAGGTCCGCGCGGAACGACGCGGTGCAGTCGTCGCAGGTGCGCACGCTGCAGCCGGCGGGCCAGGCGGCGAACAGGTGGCGCAGCGGGCCAGTCCGGCCGCACGCCGTCACGCTCAGCTCGCCGCCCGGGAGGATGCCCGCCTCGCGCAGCTGGTGGACGAGAGGCAGCACGGAGTCGATGGCGCCAAGGCCGTTGTCCCTCGTCATCAGCGTGGAGCGGGGCATGTCGCTGAAGACGGCGCGTCGCTCGGCGGAGGAGGCTGCACCGGCGGTATGTTGGCTTCCCGAGAGAGCCGATTCGAAGGACGGCTCCTTTGGTGCGGGTGATTGCGCGTGGCCTTTGGTTCCCAACGACTGTGATCCGTTGCTCGCCAGGAGATTGGGGCTTGCGGCCAGTTGCTTTTTGTGGTCGGATTTGCCACTTTCGATGCCTCTTCTTCCAGGCAGTTCGGAGTCCATGAACATTCGTAACGATTTCTGTGCACGGTATTTGCTCCCACTGTCAGGACTTGTTGACACCGGGAATTCATCGCCCGTATTGCATCGCTCCTCGCTTGTTTCGCCTTCGACTTTGCCGTTCCCACAGAGTGCTGACTGAACTGTCAGTTCATTTGGCGAAATTGAACCCGCAAGACCGCTGACTTGCATCACCGGTGGCGTGGGGAAGGCTGCAGGTGATACAGCGACTCTAGGTACACTTTTCTTGTTCGTTGGGTCTCTCTTCATTGAGTCTCCCTTTCTTAAAAGTATAGATTCAAAAGGCAGTAGCTTGAAATTGCGCTTTTGCAGTTTCTGCGTAGGTGGGGATGGGCTGATGTTTCCTATGCTTGAAAGTACGGATGTGAAGGTCACACGTGGTGAGGTGAAGCCGGGGGATATTAGGTAATACTTTTCTGAATCAAGACCATCATATCTTGGTTCACACAGTTCTGAGGGCTCAGTGCTAGGTATTTCGGCTGGTTCGGGGTAGTTGGACGCAGGACCTGGTTTTGAGGAGTGTGCACTTGTGCCACCTGCACCTTCTACTGCAAGTGTCACAGAGGGCAACTCAGAAGATGCATCCACCGCGACACACATGGTGCCTGATGCCACTAGTAAAGAGCAGAAGCACAGCAAATCTTTCTCAAGCGGCGGCTTCATTCTAAAACCTGAAGCCAAGCACGGTGTCTCGGCTTTTGTGGCAGGAGGAGTTCTGCACGATATGCTAACAGGGGGGGGGGGGGGGGCTGCAGATCTGCTGCCAGGGGTGGTGCTGCACGATCTGCTGGCAGGAAGGGTGCTGCACGATCTGCTGGCAGGAGGAGTGCGATCTGCTTGCCGTTGGATTGCGACCACGCTTATAAAGGGCATGCTTCTACAGTAAGCTCGATCCGAATGCCGGCAACGCGCAAACACATTTTCCCAAGCAATGTTTGCCGATGGTGATCCAATCATATGGCAGGTGAGTTGGGTGGCAGATGTTTACCCCGGGTAATGGAAAAATCCGGGAATTCTGGATCAACACATGTATCTAAGGTCGCAGCGTTATTGTGCCAGGTGTACAAAATCACGTTTTCACCCATAATCACAATT